ATTTGACCAGCTTCATCTAACAGACTCCTTTTTTCTGAGCAGGTCTAAATGTTGAATTCTGATTCAGACAGTCTAAGTTCAAAGAGGCGTCTGAGCGCAGTGATGCGTCCGAGAGGCCGAGCAGCCAGTCTCTGCTCCTTCCTCTTCCTGACCATCACCTCCCAGCCACGCTATCCATTAGGAAGCATTTCATCTCTGGCTCCACTTTACTGGAAACTTCTTCTGCCTACTGTCTGTGCTTCCATATGTTCCTGCATTAGCATATCCACACAAGCTCACAAAATAAAAAGAAAAGAAGAAGAATGAAGACACAAGCGTCGGAATGAAGGGAAAGAACTCTAGGCTCTCCAGGAATCAGGTCATAAAAGAGATATCTGAAACATATTGCCGGTGCGCAGAAACTGCTGATCCAGAGTTGCAGCAACATCTTTTCTGCTGCATGATTGCCTCTGCAGCAGCAAACAGACCCAACTGGGCCACACCAGGGCTGAATGCACATCCACATTGACAGACCTGCACACATGTGTAGGAAGTCTCTACATGAAGTGAAACAGTTGCAGGCTCCTGAATTTTGCTTTGAAAACTTGGACTTTCTCTCGGATGTGACGCTGGAATGTCTCCTAACCTGGGATACATACTTCTTTACATTCCATAGTTGCTCTTGTTCATATGGGCATATAAAGAAGTATGTCCCCCAAGCAGGCCACTGTCCTTGGTGGCGCATCAGTTTGGTCCCTCCTTTCCTCGGTTCCCACCGCGACCTGCCACCTATGTGTCGCCCCCACCCCTCCTTATTCAACAGGGAGGGGAAAATAGACCATCAGGACCAAACTGATCCCGGCTCTCATCTCCTCCTCACGTTGATCCCAAGGAGTTTTTCAGCTCTTGACTTTAGTTTAGAGCCTTGCCTCACTCCTGTCCTAAACAGCATCCTAACCTGACCCACTCCTGTCCCAGTCCCACTCCCAGTCCCAGTCCCAGTCCCAGTCCCAGTCCCAGGAAGCGGTTCACCTTGAGCCTCACATGTTAGAAGAGTTCAGCTGCAGCAGGATGCAGTGGGAAGGTAGGGGGTGAGGGGGGGGGAGTCAGAGAAAGAGGAGGAAGATGTTGGACTTACCTAAAGCAGATGTTGGCCAGAAGCATCCCCCCCCCCTCCCCTCCCTCCCCCTCCTGCCAGTTTCTTCAGCTCCGTCGATGCAGCAAAAGGAGAAGCAGAGCAGCGAGAGCGAACAGGAGGAGACTGGAAAGAACTGTCTTTCTTCTCCTCTCTCAGTGTCCCAGGTGCTGCCTCTGCAGTCACACCCCCCCCCCCACACACACACACACACACACACACACACACACACCCCTCTCCCTCTCTCTCTCTGAAAACTTTGGTATACGGCTGCCTGTCCCATTGCTCCTCCACCTCTCTGATCCATGAAGTGAACAGGCTGCACATGCATGCAGTGCAGTCCCCCCCCACCCCCGCCTCCCCTCCCCTCCCTGCTATATAGCATGTGCTCGCATTGTCTTCCTTTGGTTTACTCTCCTATAAAATCATCATGTGCAGCTCAGATTTCATTTCTTCTACTTTTTATTCCCTCTCTTCTCTCCATGCAGACGCCCTTGTGGCTTCAGTGAGTCCGGTTCACCTGGGACCCTCTCCTATTAGCCTCAACCACAAAGCCTTATACACAGACTCCCTATCCTACCCCCCCCCCCCTCCATCCTGAGATCAATACCAATTTATAGGCAAATGCACAAAGGCTGAGTTGTGCTTTTAATGAATTGAACCATTGCTAACGTCAGGCATCTAATAAAGGCTGAGAGGTGTTAAGAAAACCTACAGCAGCAGAAAGCATGCAGGGTAGGGGTCAGGCAGAGAGCTCGGCTCATAGATATTATTCATATGTACGCATTTTACTCTAAACATCTTACTCCACATACTTTCCTTTTCTTTAAAGGATGAATACACCTAAAAGATGTGATCTGCTTCTAGTTCTCCTGTAGAAGATTCAACTTTGAACCCATCAGAAAATAAAAGAAATAGAGGATCCATTATAACATGAGTTTTTATTTTAACTGGTTTCTTTGAAGCTAAATTGCATCAACTCTGTTTGCCTTTGGTTGGTGCGTATAGACCCAGAATTTCTAGAGCTGGTATGGAAGGAAAGCAAGAAAAAATCGGATAAATGAAGCGCTGGTTTTCCTTTGAAGTGGAAAGAGAAGCCAAACTGCTACATCAGGAAGTCTGTCACTTTCTGTGGTCAAACGCTCACCTTGAATGACAATTACAGCTAATCAAATCACTATCAAAGCTCCGATATTCTGCTGATGCAGCATTCGGCTCCATGCTGAGGTGGGAATATTTTTTATAGCAGCTTTACAAACATGTTTCCCTCTTTTATGAGCATTCAGCATGGCCTGACATGTGGAATACGCTTAAAAGCATTTAAAGTCTGTTTGCAGAAAGTATTCACAATCAAATGTATTTCAAAAGGAGGATCAATTCACATCAAAGTGGGAATGATCTGACTTAGTGGATTTTTGTCAAAAGATTTGAGTTAAAATGTAGAAAAGATGTTTGGTGTTTTGCTATTAATAGAGTAAGATAATAATGATTATAATTTATGGACCTCACATTGGAGAAATGTACCTCTGCATTTAACCCATGCCACTGGGGGAGCAGTGTGGGGTTAAGGGTCTTGCTCAGGGACCCAGAGTGGTAGTGTGTGGGAGTGGGGCTCGAACCCAGAACCTCTGGATTCAAACTTCTATGCCCTAATCACTGCATCTTTTAATCAGCTGACCAGCAGTGTGCAGGAGCCATCTATGCTCTGTACAATGCAGCATACCTCTACTGGTCTATTATTCCTCTGGCATTTAGTTTAAGATTAAAATGTAGAAACTGGATAACAAAGTAATGTTTCACTTTCCAAACATTTTTCCAATAATCCTCCACACGGGTTCCTGTTTATGTTTATCTAAATTTATTAACTCCTGTGTTTTAGACACCAACTGATAGTACATTAAGGGCAGTTCCAGAACTTTGTGATCTGCTGTAACCCCCTCCGCCCCCAGATATCCCCCTCCGTGTGTTTCTAGCAGTGTGTAACCAGTGCCATGGGGGCTGAACACATCAGACCTGCCCGCCCAGTAATTAAACTAAAAGTCTCTTCCATAAATCACGCTCGTCCTCTCGTGGCGACGGAACGAGGGTTTAGTAAATCACCGGCTGGGGCGGCTAAACGAGGAGGGCTTGGTGCGCGTGCAGCGGTCGACTCACAGACACATTAGAAAGAATGAAGTTGCTTCTTAACTCGAGCTGCACCCTGTTATCATCACCATATTCAAGACAGGGGCGACGATTTTGCAGGGAAGGACTGATAAGTGCTGTAGATTACCAGGTAAGGCGTCCATAGAGGAAGCATCTGCTCTGCTGAGCGACGCTTAGGTGTAATAGTGCTCAACTCACTTAAAACATTTTCATTTCTTTGACTCTTGTGAGCAAATTTAAGGCATTTTTTTTTAAAATACTCTTACATTTGTATGCAAATAGAATAAAACTTGGGAGGCGACAAAAAAAAAAAAAAAAAAGAAACAATTTAAGGTCAGATCTTCATACGCTTCAAAAAACACTAAAAAGTAAGTAATTAAATCGTTTTTTGCACATGACTAAAGGGATACATGAGTGTTGAGGTGGTTTAAAGTCTATTTTTTGTTCAAAACTAGAGGGGTAAACGGGTATTGACTATGGGTGTACTGGTCTGACGGGGTATGCTGGTCTGACAGGACAGCAGGCTGGGACACCCGACACTCTGCCACCTCCAGCATTTCCCTGCAAAGCCTATCAAGACTCCGGATGTTTGACAGACAGCTGACCACAGCTGATCTCCCTGGTATCTGCTAACTGGGTAAAATTAGCCAGGACAGCAGGAGACAGAAACAGGGAGGGGTGGGGGGTGAGGAGGAGGACAGATAGGAACACATGCAAGACACTTTTAGAAGCTGGCCTCTGCTTTAAACCTCCCTGAGGAGAGTGACACCTGCGGGTGTCCCGTCTATAGATAGAGCAGAGGCCTGGTTTGGAAAGCTGCTCCAGAACTAAGGTTAGAACATGGAGAGGAACTTAAGGACTTCTTCACCAGACGTCTCTGATAACAGCTGCCTGTCACCCAGGCTGACATAAAGAAATCAGCCTGTTCAGACCATCGGTCAGTCACCAACAGCCTCAAAGACTACAATCCAAAGCTCAAGCGGAGACACTGAAAGTCTCAGCTGACATTTCTGCCCAACATCACAAGTTTCACAAATTCAAAAACTATCCTTGATTTTAATTTATGATACTGACCAACGTCTGTCCCACCTGGTGCCACTTCTCTGTTAGACTGTTTCCAATTTGCGATACCTTGACGCAAACACCCCACTAACATTTTTACACAAATACAGTTAAACTTTAAAATTACCATTTAAAGTCTAAAGATATTACATTAAATCATCAAAGTATAATTTAACACATTCAAGGAGATTAGGTTAAAATCCCTTTCTTTCAAAGTTCCACAGTAGATCCTGGTTTTGGTGTGAAATAAATTCCTGCTTCAGTGTCTCCAGCCTCCCAGGGTGCATCAACATTTTCCCACGGTTTCCCTAAAACTCACAGGAATCCTTGTTTTTCAGGGGTTTACGTTTCCACGACTTCTGTCCACCAAACAACCTGACTGGGAGCATTTCCCAGAGCAACCTTGACCTTTTAACCCTAAAATTATCTTCTATATTTGTGAACATGTCATCATTTTGTTGTGTTCTCTGCTTGGAGAGTTTTTACAAAGTGGAAAAAAAAAACTCCCGCTTCCCTAATTTAGAATAAATCTCTTTTTCACACCAACAACACAGAATCTTCCTGTGAAGATGGACAATGTGAAGCAACCCCAGAAAGATGGCTCACAAAAACAAAGCAACTTGTAAAAACACGTTTTACAAATACCTAAGCACAAACGCACACACACTTCTGCACCTACCGTAGCACAGGTGATCCAGAGAGGGATGGCGGCCCATGCGGAGTAAGGCAATCGCTGCAGGCGGAGTCTCTCCTCCCTGAGAGCTGAATCAGCGATGGAGAGTTTAAGGATGCAGAGAGAAAAGGAGGAGGAGGGAAGAGGAGGAGGGAAAAGGGAGAGGAGGAGAGAAAAGAAAAGGGTCACTGGAGTTTTTCTCTTACAGGATAAAAAGGGAGGAAAAGGCATCAGACCAACAAGGAAATAAAAATAACCTTAAAAAAAAGGTAGCATCCCCTCAAAATTAAACAATACGCATCAATAAAGGAAAGGAGAATGGTTTGTGTAGAGGAGGGAGTTTGATGGGACGATGGGCACTGAAATGTGTCAGCCAGCAGCTGTCCGTCCCTTCGCATCACAACCGGGCCATGTAAAGTTAGAAGGAGAGACAGCTGATCGGACTGCCGGAGAAGGAGATGCAGCCAGATAGGCAGTGCTGACAGTGCTGAAGGACAAATCGGGAAGACGGACGGTGGGAGGGGTCGGCAGAAGGAAAGAGCGAAAGAAGAGAAGAGGAAGGCAGGGGAAAAGTAGAAACCCTGTGAATGAAAGAAATACATCAAATACAGGGAAAAGGAAGGGATGTTTGGGACCGCAGAACGGGAGGTTCTGTAAAAATGGGAAATGTAGAGAAGGTAAGAAAGGAACAATGATAAGAAAGAAAAAGAAAAAAGCTGCATGTTAGATATAAAAATCTCCCAGGTCTCCAAAGGCTCTGAGATTATGGTAATCTTTTAGTTAAAAATGTTCAAAAGGAACAAAGGAAAACAAAATTAGAAATGATCTCTTACTCTGTTCTGTCCGTCTTGTCCTTTCTGTCCGCACATTCCACTCATTGCCGTCCAGGGGTCAGCCAGGGCAGCTCCCCCAAAGTGAAGAGTTTAAAATGATCTACCCAACAATTAAAATGGTGCAGTTGAACAGTTGATGCTGTAGGAACGGTAGGTCATCTAACACCACCTCCAGGCTTCGTCTGCTTCGGTTTGTTCAGTTATTCAATTCAGAGTCCAAACTGGGCAAAACCAAAGTGACAACGGGAACTTCAACATAAGGGAGGAGGAGTAGTGGAGAGGAAAGCCCTTCTGTCCCAACGCCTTTATACCAGGGTAAGAACTGGACACCCCCCCCCCCCCCCCCCCACTGGCACACTTTCATAGCCCTGCTCCACGGCCTTATTTAGTGAGGGGTAGCAAAAATAGACTCCCAAGGGCTGTATGGTCGGGGTAAGAGGGTAGGCAGGGTGTAAGGAACCAGGAGGTGCCAAAGGGGTGGGGTTAAAGCCTGTTAGGTGGGCATGATGGGGTTGTTTCTAATTACTAAGAAAGTCAATGCAAAAAATAACAATTCTGTGGTAGTTTGCATTGACTGTAGCGCCCCCCCCCCCCCCCCCCCCCCCAGTGGACTTAAAAAAAAACAACACAAATATACATCAAAAAATAAATGTTAACTCGTTTGACAAAATCTGTACATTTCTTCCCTCCTCTTTAATGAATAAAAATGGGAGGGGTGGGGGTATGTCAGAAAAGGCATCAATTACCATAGCAACCAAGGACACTATGTAGTTATATGACAATGAACAATAAGAGGTTAAAAACAGAAATGTTTTATATTATATTATGTTTTATTTTATATGAATGAGTCATAACACTAGTTAAATGTATTTATGAAGTTGTGTTTTTTTGTTTAGTTCAGTTTTCATAACTGAAGACAATAAAACAAAACACACGATTTAAGACAAATATCTATCCTATCTTTATGATTATAATAACAGGTATAACAACAGGAAATTAAATGTCATTTTAACAGGCTCACACACACGGCCAAGTTGACTGTTCTTCAAAACCCTTCTAGTGACCTCACTGTAACTCTATTAAAGTGCAATCTGTTGTTAAAACTAAACCTGTTTGTAACTCAGAGTTGTGGAAGGCTAAGACTCTGTTAGCTGTTTAATTATATGGCTGGTTTTGGTATTCTCACTGTGCTTACAAATTGCTCTTAGCTAAGCTCACTAAAAATATACCAAAAGCATGATGCAACACAAATCAAAAACTAGTTTCCTCCTTCGTTTCCAGAAATAAAGGTAAGAACCCACACGTACGTTGTTGAAGAAGATGCTCAAGACCATCCTAACTTCTCTTCCACACCTCAGAGGAATGCCTGTTGAATCTGCATGCGTGAGCCCGGAGGGCCAAGTCCACCGCTTCTTTTTTAGTTTGTCTATCGCTCAAAAACACTAATTTAGTGACAGAATTAAATTCAGTTTAGTTTATTTCTATAGAGCCAATTCACAACACATGTCATCTCAAGACACTTTACAATTTATCTAGACAATCCAGTCAGATTGAAAGTTTTCTATCTAAGGAAAAACTAAAAAATCAACTCATTGACTGGAAACCTGCAGGAAAACCAGAACCAGGCTCAGTGTGAGCGACCATCTGCTGAGGCCAACCAGGGTTCAAGGAGACAGAAGCAGACATAGAAAAAAGCAAATGTTACAAACGTCTCAAGGAATTTTGTCCTTTCAACACATTGACATGAAATGAAATTCAGCTAGCTTTAAGGGTTCCTGAGCAGCTCAATCTAAAAGTATGAAATAGTTAAAATTGATATAAATAAGCTGATGTATTAAATATTAAATAAGCAAGATAAAACATGCAAATTTATGCAAATATGAAAAATAAATATAGGGGACTAAATTACAACCATTGTAAATAAAGTGTCACGGTTAGGTGGAGGTTTATGAGGACTAAAATGCAGAGATCAGGAGGCAGAGGTGAGTCTTGTAGATTTAATAAGGCAACTGAGGCAAAAATCCAAAGGTACAAAAGATTCAAAGAATCAAAAAACAGAAAACATCAGAGAAAACTCACGTTGGGAGCAAGAGATGAGGAAGCAGCAAAACAGCCAACCAGCACTGCAGAGCTGGAGTATATGTGGGGAGACTGAACCAAGACAGGCTAATCAGCAGATTGGGAGCAGGTGTGACCTCAGCAGCTGCAGAGGGGCGGGGCACAGCCCATCACTGGCACTCTGGTTCAACAATTCAGTTCATCCTCTCCAAGTAAGGCAGGATCCAGCCAATGGACTGCAGAAAATATGATGCGGCTCAGAGCCGTGAAAAGTGTCCCCAATGCAGGAACCCCAGTAACCAGGCAGGAATCTGATCCAGGTCAGGGAAACTGTTCAGAACCGGAAAGTTCTGAGATCCTGGAGTCCGTAGCCCGAGCAGGGGTACTGATCCGAACAGGAACAGACAGATCCAGGGTTCCTCAGAGCATGAAGGCAGGTTCAGAGTTCTATGAGTCCAGCAGCGAGCTCAGGCAGACATGCACAGATGGAGACAGACAAGCTCAGTGGTAGAGAGGGAAATAGACACGGTACCAGGATAAATGCCGAACTTTAAACTGGTCACTACCTTAGAGACAGGCTTATGGGAATTAAAACTGAACTCTTTCTTTTTCTCCTACCTATGAAAATGGCACGTCAGATTGAACAAGCATCGTTCATTTAGGAAAATGATCTTGAATTATCCTGTTATACATGATGCAGTCCACTTGTGCATAATTGAAACGCCTTAATATTTAATGTAAAACTGCATAATTACCGCCCCAATTTTGCCATTTAAGGGTAAAATCCCCACGCTGTCAGAAAGTTTTCATTTATAAAAAAGGCATCAAAAATTAAGAAGAAAAACTTTTCTGGCTCAGAGATCGAGGTTCTTCTGATGGAGAGATGAGCAGCAGAGTTTAAGGACCAGTAAAAGCCAAGAATTGGGGATAAAATCACAAAGGCTGTTAATCATGTTGCACTGTTACAGAAATAAAGAAAATGTAACTAACAATAATTGAAATAAAAACTAGAAAAGCACTCGGAGAGCGCAGACCTCTACCTAGCAACAAACTTTGCCCCATATTGTGACTAAAACCCAAATTTTCACTTGGTCTGGATCTTTACCAAATGTTCTGCTCTCACCTCCTTCATTCCCTCTGCTTCGTTCTTCATCAGCAGATAAAGACTGAGCAAAAAGCTTTCGTAATATGATTGCTACTGTATTTCCTGATTGTGATGACAACATCTGACATACACACATGAAAACCAGAGGGCAGCAGGTCATGTGAAAATATAATATTTGTGTCATTCTCAATACTTTTGGCCATGACTGTACACTGAAAGCAAGGTGGGGCTTTCCAACAATGCCTCATTTACAGGTTAGGGTTAGCCTGAGCTTGTGCAGGAGGTTGAAAGGTACCGGCCAGATATATTTGGGCTCACTTCTACGCACAGATGGATTCCGAAACCCATCTCCTGTAGAGAGTCTGGCCTCTCCACTTCTCCGGCGTTTCCCACGGGGAGAGGCGGCTGGCTGGGGTGGCCTTACTCGTTGCCCCCATCTCAATCGTCACGTTTTGGAGCTCACCCCAGTGAATGAGAGGATCGCATCCTTACACCTTGAAGTTGGGGACAGGTCTTTCGCCGTTGTCTCGGTCTATCAACCCAACATCGATGCAGAATCCCTGGCCTTCTTGGATTGCTTCTCTTCTTGAATGTTTCTCCAGCTGGGGACTCCATTGTTCTACTGGGGGACTTCAACGCCCACGTGGTTAGCGACAGTACGAACCTGGAGGTGATGGGTAGGAATGGCCTCCCTGATCTGAACCTGAGCAGGGTTCTGTTATTGGACTTCTGTGGTAATGACAGTTTGTCCATAAAAAACACCATGTTCGAGCACAAGAATGTCCATAAGTGCATGTGGCACCAGGACATTTTGTGTAAACTGAATTCTTGAGCTCACATGGAGCTCAGTGACTGTTCTTTCTTTTATTGCAGTAACCAAAAATCCGACCTGTGTCCCCTGGATACCTGTGTAGCGACCATTCTGTCTGTGACCATAAAATGTAATTTATAATTGCACAGTTACATGACATATAATAATAAAGGGATTGTAGGGGACCAGCCAAGAACCAGTCAAGGACCAGCCAAGGGTCCATCAAGGAAAGTCAGGACATTTTGAATGGCTACTACTGTACATCACTCATTCGAACGATTTAAGAATGAATTTGTTTGAACATTTCTAGCGTGAGGGCCAATTTTTAAACACCATGCCACAAAGCAGTTCACTAGCTCCCTGTACTCAGCTTTTTATCCATATTTGATGCATTCTACAAATGACAGGACTCTGTCTGGCACATAATAGTCTCCCGAGGAGCTTCTGTGCTGCTAACTAGTTGACAAGACAGCTGATCCTTCAGCAGTCTTTGATCGTTGTCGATCCCACTGCATGAAAAGTGAGATTTTCGTCCCCGTAAACTCCCGCAGATCTGCCTGATTTTCGTCAGTTTCCGACAATTTGCAACCCGTGGTTGTCCGCGTTTGTCGTGCCACAAATTGTCGGAAACGGACTCTGACGTATGTGGAGAGCGATCAGCTGTACTAATGGCCCTAATTAGCATATGAATGCAGCAAACCCGCGCGGCTGGCCAGGTCTGGCTTGAATAACCTTCTCAGTATTGGCTGAAACCACTATTCTCAAACAAATGAAATCGCTCGTGATTGGCAGCAAAACCACACGTGGCCACGCCAGGCTTTAATTTTCTTACTGAGTATTGGACGGAACCACTTCTTTTTAAACAAGTAAAGTCGCTCGTGATTGGTTGGCATATATATATATTTACATATAAATTTACATATATTTATTCATATATATATATTTATTCATTCATATATTTATTCATTCATATATTTATTCATATGCTGTGTATTTATGTTATCCTACACTACCACACAATTATTATGCTACCATCAAGGACATGAATGAATTTATACAGGAAATGAACATTTGCCAGGAAGCTGTTTATGCAAAGAAAGAGCTTTATTGAAACACACACAACTATATACAACGCGTATCCAAACACATGCGTTTCTAAAAATTAAAACTCCGTGAACGGTCCGTTTGCTTCCTCGGGGTTGGAGGTAACTGGCAGCATTCCCTCCGAGGCAGGTCCGATGTGCAGACGCATACTGTGCGTGGCCCTGTACTTTGGCATCGCTTCTAACCGGGACTGCAGCTTAACACAGAGTTCAG